GGTGCAGGCTGCCCCCGACTTGCAACGTGATCGGTTCCTGGGATAGTGTCGCAAGTCGGGGGTGTTGTAACTCGAACCCACATTTACGATAGGTGCCATGAGCCATCATAAATGCGGGCCAATGACATAAGCCGGGGGTTTTCAGCCCCTTCCGCACTTAAAAAAATGGTCATAAGTGCAGGGGGTTGCAACTTGGGCCATCATAAGGCAGAGGTTTCCTGTAGCCAATTTTATAGTAATAGTCAATAACACTCTGAAAAGAAGACCACAGCATTAGGTAAGTTTCCGTAAACACAGAGAAAGAAACAGACCATGGTGTACTAGACAGCAATTTTCTACAATGCTTATTTAAGTATAACAGAAAAAGAAAACAATAATTTGAGCTATATTGTGTGTGCTGCGTGGTGATGATAATAGGTTTCATATTTAACTTTCTAATTTAGTAGTTATGCGTTTGCTGGATAGATCTTTAAATATGGATTTAGCAGTAACAGTTACTGAAGTGTTTATCCTGAATGTGCTTTAAAGAGGAACAACATAAATACTAGAGAAACAAAGATGCTGCTTTGTCACAAAGTTAGGATCTGAATCTAAACTCCTGCAAAGTTCAGAAGTGTTGGATTGAGGGTTTCTGTGCAGCTCCATCCATAGCAAACACATTTGCCTTTCACTTAGCTTTCATAGTTTGTCTTACTGTACAGCCGGTCCCCGAGTTGTGAATGGTCGACTTACGACTGTTCTGTTAGGACCAAAGCTGTCGTAAATGGCAGACCCCGAGTTATGAACGCGATCCGCGCTTACGAACAGGTAACTCTATGGGATCCGACTTACAATCAAACCAAGTTAGGACCAATTGCTTGGTCCATAACCGGTTCGTAAGTCGGGAAGAGGCTGTATTTACTAATTGTCAGGTACTTACACCAAAATAAGGTTTGCCTGAATGTGTACTGCTTAATTTGTGGCATTCCATTCCTTTTCATGTTAACAGACTGTGACCTCACAAATACAGGATTATGCGGATCAAACAGAAGGCTTGTTCAAATACCAGCATCTGACATAATAGTAAAAGGAAACAAAAACCGTATTTGACCTAGAAAACTGTTTTTCGTCAGAATTTTCTTTTCTGCTACTTTAGAAGGTCAGTATTAGGCCTTGCTGCTGGATACACCTTTGCATGTGCTTAACTTGACTTCTGTGGCACTACTCACATGCTTACATGTTTGCAATATCAAGGCAAACGTGAGATCTGTTATTTGGCTAAGGAAGCAAAGTGGGCTGAGCAGCTCACATGTAAGTCTTAATTTAAAACAATGGTATTTTGGGTTTGTTTTGTGCTTCTTAATCTAAGGCCCAATACTGCTCCCACTGAATGCTGTGGGAACAGGATTGGGCCCCTTTTCTGGAGTGTGTGCTATTATATACCAGGTCTCGGAGGGGTAGCCGCGATAGTCTATAACTTTAAAAACACCGAGCAGTTCTGTGGTACCTTAGGGTATGTCTACACTACCCTCCTAGTTCGAACTAGGGGGGGTAATGTAGTCATACGGAGTTGCAAATGAAGCCCGGGATTTGAATTTCCCGGGCTTCATTTGCATAAAGCCGTCCGGCGCCATTTTTAAATGCCGGCTAGTTCGGACCCCGTGCCACACGGCTAGACGCAGCATGCTGCATTTGCATGAAGCCGGCCCGCGCCATTTTTAAATGCCGGCTAGTTCGGACCCCGTGCCGCGCGGCTACACGCAGCACAGACTAGCTAGTTCGGATTAGGCTTCCTAATCCGAACTAGCTGTACGCCTCATGGAAGCCTAATCCGAACTAGCTAGCATTTAAAAATGGCGCCGTCCGGCTTTATGCAAATGAAGCCCAGGAAATTCAAATCCCGGGCTTCATTTGCAACTCCGTATGACTACATTACCCCCCCAGTTCGAACTAGGGGGGTAGTGTAGACATACCCTTAGAGACTAACAAATATATTATATCATGAGCTTTTGTGGGTAAAACCCACTTCATCAGATGAGTTCGAGTGGAAATTATAGAGTTCAGGGTATATATAACAGCAAAAGCAGTTACCTGTCAATTGTAGGTCCAGTATTAATTAAACTAATTGAATCAGGCTGGATGTGTCCTATTCATAGCTTTAGATGTGTAAGTCCATTTTATTCTATGAATAGCTTTTTTGCCATTTAATTTTTCTTTCCTCTTTTCCCCTCTGACAGATCTCCTTCAGAATAACACCCACCCTTCAACTGGCATCCTCTGAAGCAGTGGTTCCCAAACTTTTCGGCATCACGCCCCCTTTTTGATTTTTGAAAAACCCTCACGCCCCTTCCCTCCCAACAGCAAAACTTGTTGAGCAAAAAGAAAAAAGGAACTGACCGGGCAGCAAAACTTGATGGGGCGGGAGGGCCTCGCGCCCTTCCCCCGCCCCCGGAATTTCTTCACATCCCCCAGTTTGGGAACCCATGCTCTGAAGGTACTTTTTAATGCTATTCCATGGACTGGCCAGCAGGGAATGCTCTAAAAGCAATGCAGCCCATATCCTTCTGGGAAGTGGAAATCTTTTCACAAATGATGAGGTATCTAATCACAATATCACAATATACTGCTATTAGCCCCTACTAGGTTGGTTCCATTTTCCTTATTCTTGCATGACTAGAAATGTTGTTGCTATTATTAAGTGTGGGTTTTTGAAAGTCTCTTTCCAACTGAATAAATGTAACACTGTGAAATCAGTAAATTAGATACAAGTCTGACATGTGAACACACATCATCTGATACTCATTAGATATAAAAAAATCTATTAAAAGGCCAACTATATTTTGTTTCTAAAACCAGAGATGTATTTTTTGTAGAGTAACTCAGAAATATTCCTTAGCAGAGTGCCAACTGTTCCTAAGAGTTTTGATTAATTTAAAGTTTTCTTTAGTTTTTATGACTGTCTTGGGGTATGTATATGCCAGGGGTTGGTAAATACTGGCCTGTAGGCCGGATCTGGTTCCCCAGGGTTAGTCCCTGGCAGGCCATAGCCTCTATATTTACCTGTGCCTCCTCAGGAACAGGTGATTGCAGCTCCTGTGGCCACGGATCACCATTTCTGGCCAATGGAAGCTGCAGGAAGTGGTGTCCCAGTCCACGCCACTTCCCGTAGCTCCCATTGGCCGGGAACAGTGAACCACAGCTAATGGGAGCTGCAATTGCAATTATGAGCTGCTGCCATTTTACTGCCCACCCTTGGTATATACTCTACTAGAATTCTGCATGCAGACAAGCAAAAGGACCAATTTCATTGCTGGCATAGGTGAGCATAACCTTTCTCATGGAATCCAGTATTTGTTTGGCTTTTTGTATAAATGTTCCTTAGCTCTAAAATGAATGATACTCTTAACTGAGACTATTTCCGTGTAAGATACTGAATATGAAAAACACCATACCATTACTCTCAGTATTTCACTAGCAGTGGAGAGAAACTTGGAGCTGACACACATTGTAGGCCATGTTGCGTTATTAGATCTTGCTTCTGAAATGGAGAGTGGGCAGTAGGGAAGAAAACTCCCTTCATATAAAACAATCCACCCACTTAAAACTTTGCACTGAGAAAAGTAGGCCCTAAGCTTTTGATGATACTTTTGATGATACCTTTGTGGGTAGTGCGGGGTGGTGTAAGGTCACAGAGACACTTCTGCTGCACAGATACTGCTCTGCTGGTTACACGTCAGCGTCCATATATCACCTATATACACACAGTAGAAGAACTTGGAATGCCAGGTCAGAAGGGCCTATGGAATGAGAGTCTCCCCAATAGCACTATCAATGCAAGAGTTAGTACTAGAGGACACGGGAGAGCATATTGCAGACAGCAAGGGAGGGCCCAGGTATCCTGTAATTCTTAGTTGTGGAATTGGCCCTGAAAGCTCCCCCCCAGAGGCAAATCTACGCAGCAGTATCCAAGCTATTACTTATTTTAATATCCAGCTTTTAGGCAGGTTACGAAAACTTTAGAAACATGAACTGAATGTAAACCAATGCAGGGGTATCTTTGTGCGTTTGAAGACAATACTAAGCAACAGGTTGGATAAACAGACTGCTGGTACCTGCAGAAATCTCCTTCTGCCTCTGGCAATGTCAGTGATGCCCTGGAGTTCTTCATCAGATCAGTCACAGTGTTGTCCTTTGAAGTCACATAAAAGAAAGGTATTCCAGTGCTGTTATTGACGGGCCCATCACTGAGCAGTAAACAATTTCCAAAAGGTACACCCTGGATCTGAGAAAATTAACACAATCAGTTCTTTAAAACTTTGCACTCAGACATTGTACACAAAGATGGGGACTTACTTACCCAAGGTCAGTAGAAGAAATGGGAATAGAACCTGTTCTTCTGACTCACAGTTTTCATTCTCACTGCTAGACCACATTGTTTTCTAAATTAGGTTTATTTATCATATTGCTATGGCAACAAATCTCTCTCTTTCTTCCCCCCACCCTTGCCCATGGTGATATGGAGAATTCCTTTTCTTTGCTTTGTCAGCCATTAAAAAGAAACTAGCAAGTACAAACACATGTATGCATTAAAATACAATCATGAAAGCATCTACCCTAGAGGGCACTGATATCTTTTCTTGGGAATCTAAAAGGATTCATAATCCAATTCAGCTTTTGATTCAGTCTCATTTTGGCCCTCTCTGCACTAAGCTTTTAATCTTGCTTTGAAATATGGCCACACTGGCTGGCCAAACTATAGTAGGATGGTCTCAGAGACGTGTTTGTAACTTTAAAAAAAAGAGTAGTCCTGTAGCATCTTAACAGATTAACTATATATCAATCAATCACACTACAATTGACAGTTTCCCCTCTCCTTTTTTTGTTATAAATTTGGAGGTTCCCCCTTTTTTCTCCACTCTTTTTCTCCACTCATCTGAGGAAATGGTGTTTGCCCATGAAAGCTCATGATACTATATTATATAGTATAATATAATACTACATATATTGTTAGCCTCGAAGGTGCTTCAGTACAATTCATTGTTTTATAGTAGGATGGAACCATTTTAGTTAGAACGATGTTTAAAGTTGGACTAAATTTAACCATAGTTCCAGAGAGCTCAGCATAGATGGGGCCTATACAGGCCATCCAATTCCCAAAAAGCAGCAAAACTTCCACTAACATGTATGAGCATAGGAGCAGGCCCTAATGGGCCAGTTTTTCAAAAGTTGGCACTCCCTTCCCCTGACTTGCACAACCACAGTGGATATTCCATGTGCAACAAACTGAACTTACTTTCGGAAGGGTGACCCTGTGTTTGTAGCTCTATTACTGATGAATGACGAAAGATATATTTCCCTTTGACATGTGATAATTGTACCATGTCACTCATCCCATTAGAATCACAGCAGCAGATCTAGACCTGGTATTAGGCTTTTTGTTGTTGTTTTGTTTTGTTTTTATTTTTAATATGTCTTCAGGTTGTAATTTTAAATGGCCAATCCGATATTAGAGATTAAAAATAACAATCAATATATTAACTCAATTCAGTGTAACAGGTTTTTGTAACAAAACTAAGTTAAATATGAGCAGTTACTGAAAAACCATGGGTGATACCAACCTGGATCACATGCTTTCCATTGTTTAATGTTTGTACATGTTTAATGTTTCAATGTTTATATACAGTCTGTACTGCAAATTATAAGGAATATTTTTATGCAGACACATAACTGGGAAACCAAACACTCTCAATAAGATTTATAAAATAAAAAATAGCAGCTATCAATAGCACTAGAAATGTCAATCATTTAGGTTTGAGTCTTTCATATTTGTTTAAGTGTACATTTCACAGTCAAAAAAGAACTGTGGGCCGAGTCCACATAATTCATAATTCACAGCAAAGACATCATGCCCATGAATTACAAGTTTTATTATATGTTCATTTTTGGTATTACTTATGTATTATAATTACATACAGCAAACTGCACATATTGTATTAAGGTTGTAATTCCATCAAAGGTTTCTGATGAGAGTGTAAACCATAACAGTTAAGATCATATGATTTAGTCGCATATTTGAAACCCTAAAATGGAATGTGAGACTTCAAGTGTGTAGTACAACTGGGAATATTTTATTAATTATATTTTTTTCTAGCTTCTGATGCTTTGCATTTCACAAACTGCCAGGCAGCTGTTTCTTTAATAAGTCTTTCCAGAAGCTTTATTGCCTGTTAACTTTTACTTTTTTAAATTTAACTAAAAAAATTAATCCCTTTTCTGCAGACATTTTAACAGAGAATTAATATTAAACTCACTTTTTTATATGTCAACATTATTGAAAGCTAGATACTATTCAAAACCTTCTTTTTTAAAGAGAGTAAATTTGCAGCTGGAAAAATAAGGGTCCAGATTCTGCACTGTTGACCATCTGCTCAGCATCATACTACTGACAAAATGGCCCTGAAGTGGGTACAGATGGTCAAGGTAGGATCACTCCCATCAGTGGTATAGTTAGGAATGTAAGTTTGGCTGGATTGCAAATTATTACAGATGGGTAATATTCCACCCACATATTTCCTTCCAGACATGGCTTTGGTTTTGACAGGCCAAAGTCTTTTTAAAAATTGCCAGTTTGCTAGGATGCAGCACTTAAAAAAAAATCCAAGTATAAATTTACTTGAACTGTGCATTGAACTGGCCCAACATGGGCAGAGGAAGCTGGTGTTTGATACCAGAGCCCCGTGAAGCCAGCTCAACATGGACAGAGGGAGCCAGGCTCTGTGCCTGGATCCTCACAGAGCCAGCCTGACCTGGCCAGGAGGAGTTGGACTCTGATCCTGGAGCTTCACAGAGGCTGGCTAATGTCAGAGAAGGAATCAGGATCTAGTCCCAGATCCCCCTGGAGACAGCCTGATATGGGCAGAGCGAGCCATATTTGGGTCCTACCATATGCTAAGTGGATTGGCTGCAGCCGGCCTGTGGCTACACCATTGACTCCCATACAGGTATATCGTCAAATGGCCTATAATTAGTGCTGCAGCTTCTATCCTCACCCCTAGTGTGGAGAGTGCAGTGAAGCAAAAGGGGTGTAGCTGCTCTGCCGTTATATCCTGCTGATCCCTAGGGCTGCTGTTATAGCAGGCTTTAGGCTGCTGTATATTATGCTGGGGAACCAGCTGGGCACACAGCCAGCCCAGGATTGGGGAGACACAAAGACATCATTCCATGCTGTAGTGCGTGCTCCTTGGCTTCAACAGAGATTCTGGCCCAATGTTTTTCCTCTTCTTTTTCTGCACCTTGCCAGGTGGTGCTGTTCTTTAGCATCTCTCTTCTACTGTGCTGTGAGCAGGATTTCTAATCCTAGAAATCTTTTGCAGAGAAGCAAAGCTGTGAATAATGCCTAAATATGTTACACTAGCACTGTATTTTTACAGACTGATTAAATAATACTACTGACAGCTTTTATCATCTGCGTATTTTGTAGCTGATATCAGTAGAACAGTAAATATTTTCTGCATAACACTGCTGGGATGCCATTATGTAGTCTTGCATTATAATAAATTGCTAATACCAGTAAAGAATTTAGCTAATGTATATAATAAATGCTTTTGCAAAATAGATTATTTACTGACTTTTACAGAACTGTAAAATACAAGCAAGCAATGTGCAAGCCCCTTCCCACTGTTAGTGGATAAATAAGCCTAGTATTCAAAGAGAAATTTCAATGTCTAGCAGAGGATGTGACTTACAGTACCTTTTCCTGGGTGGACTCGGTAGCCAAGAAGCCCCAGCTGTTATAATGGGTCAGGAAACGGGCAGTTCTGATTGCCTGCTCCTGAGGAGTGATGCTCTCTGTCCCTTTGATACTCTCTCTCCTGTAGGAAAACATCCTAGAAGGAGAGGAGATTTCCTTGGATCTCCCAGCCACTGGCCTTGACCTCATTTCAACATCTTCTTTGTAAACAGAGGCTGGGTAGCTCTGCTTCCAGATGCTAGTCGTGTCTTCCAGAAGTGCAGGGAGAGCTTCCTCGTTTGAGGAGCTGTCCAATTCTTCCTCCACCTCATTGGTAACTGACCACGAAACAGAGTTGACTATCACGTACCCCAATGCAGGAGACATCATCACACTGCACCACAGAATGCAGGAAAACCAGGATATTGATGTAGTCCTTTTCCTCAGCTGTATTTGACAGCAGCACACAGACATTTTGTAATAAACACTCCACGCTAAGATCCACACTGAACCTTGCAAAACCTGAACCTTTGGAATGATAACAGCACCCTCCTGTGGTGAAAACTGGCTGAGAGATGGATTAGATTCAGTTTACACTCTTGCTCAAGCATCAACAGTCTATATAATATCCCTGCATAGAAACTCAAACTTGCCACCTAGAACAGAGGGTTTTTTCTGGCATAGGTATTCCTCACTCTACGAGGAAAAACACCTTTTTGCGAAAGAGCTCTTTTGCAAAAGACATGTGTGGATGGGGAAGAGGGTTTTTTTGCGCAAAAAGAGGAAAGAGAAAAAAGCACAGGTGCCCTGATGGCCATTCTGTGCATAGCAAACAGAGCTTACTTTCGAGAGTGTCCATACAGTCTGGATGCTCTCTTTCGCAAAAGCACATTGCTTTTTCAATGTGCTTTTGTAGCGTGGATGCGTTCTTGCACAAGAAGTTTTTGCGGACGATCTCTTCCAATAAAAGCTTCTTGCGCAAGAAGCTTGCAGTCTAGATGTAGCCCATAACTCCTTTTCCACTATATTCTTCTAAACTGATCTGTTGGATAGCTGTGAAAGAAATAATATTTATATAATTAATCTAAAGATTTAAAAAACTAATTTAGTCCCATCATGCAGTAGTGTTTGCCAGAGCTCCACACACATTTTCTGCTAGTATATGTTAACTGAATAGTAAGATATTTTTATGGAAAAGTTAAAATGTCAGGCTATCTGCCTATCCTCCTCACTTTTGAGTTTCCTCCCAATGGCTGAGCTGAGAACCACTTGGAGGCAGATGAAAGAAATTTCCAAAAGTGGAAAAAGGGAACATCAGGGGACCTCCAATCAAGTATCCTTCTCCTGCCTCCCAATTTCTTTCAATAGTGAATTACATTCTACATGGCGGGATCAACTTCCTGGCATAGGGGCTAGAATTAGGGCTGTGGGAGGTGCTGCAGCACCTCGTGGCTTGAAGTGGTTTCCATTATATAGAGCAGGCCTGGGCAAAATACGGCCTGCGGACCAGATAAGGCCCACCAAGCCACCGGATCCGGGCAGACTCCCCTGATTGTCCCACAGCCCACTCAGAAAAGCGGCTATAAGGCCATTTCTCTCTAAAATCTGTGAGCCTGGAGGGGAGGAGAGAGGCTTCAGGTGTAACTCCTGCCCCCAGCACAATCCCATTGGCCAGCTGCCTGTATGAATAATAGGCAGCACACAAAGCACTATGCCCCTCTCCCCTCTGGCTCAATTATTCACACTAGCACATGGCTAAGAAACCTTTTAAGCATTTACCTCTGCAGGCAGGCAGGCAGGCTGTTTGGGCTGCTGGCTGGTAAGTCTCCAGGTGAGAGCCTGCTTCTGGCACCCAGGCCCTTTCTTCCCCAACCCTCTACCCCCCACACTCAACACCCATACCCTCTGCCCCCCTCCTGCACCCATACCCCTTCCCCAGATCTGGCACTCTAATCCCCTGCCTCAGACCACAATCCCCTCCTATTCTAGGTTACAACCCAAACTCCTACACCCCAGTCCCCTCCCCTAGGTCACAAACCAAACCTGTGCACCCCAGTCCCCTGCCCTAGATCACAACTGCCTCCCTTACCCAAACTCCATCCCAAACCCCACTTTTCCTCCTGCACCCCAATCACAGCCCAAGCTCCCTTCTGCACTCAGTCTCCATCCCAGACCCACCTCCTCCATTAATATCATGGAAGAGTGCATCCCTTGACCACTTTCTAAAATCTTGGACTGCCCCCCCCCATCAAAAATGATTGCCCACCCCTGATATAGAGTGTTTACAGTTTGGTTCAATGGCTTTCAGCACCCCTCCCTGTACAAGTTGTTCCAGCACTCCTGTTTCCTGTAGTAATGCTTCTTGAAACTATTGAAGCCACTAATTCCCAAGTGTTGCCCACATCACAGCTAATCGGTCTCCCAAAGTAAATGTTTATGTGGTATAAATGTAGAATACTACAAATTCTATGCACATTTATTTCCAGTACTTCCTAATATTTTCTGGATACTTACGCTTGTGTTGTAGTCATATAGCAAGTTGAAACAATTTTGTGTCAGACATATGGGAGAATCAATTATATAGGGCCTATTCTGTCTTAACTAATAGCATTGCATGGGAGATGCTGACTTCACAGTATTCTGCAGAAATGCAAAGCTCGGCAGGAATTTTTCAAAGATCCATGGCAAATGGATCTGAGATCAGAGCTGAGCTCCGTATAAACTGACACACCTAACATAACAGGACACGTCAAAGCCAAAACAGCAGCTTGAACTCTGGAGTCCATATTGTAGACACAACGAAGCATTTTGATATGGTTAATAGTCCATTCTATGCTTCCCTTTGGGGTTTTATGGCATTATGGTTTCAGGTAGGTCTTTAACATTATTGATGACAGAACTACAAGAAACAGAGAAGAACAAAAACAAAGCAGGCTGAAACATTCCATGTTAGGCTTTCTTACATATTTACTCAAATAAGCCAAACAGTTAAATACATAAAAGCTTTAAATAAATACTTTAACACACTTCTGTAGCTAATATTTAAAAATATTTTAAAAAGCCCTTTCATTTCACAGAAAAATGAAAAAAAAATTAAATCTATATTAAGCATACAGGTAAATACAATAAATCGCTTCTGAACAATTCTTATACATCTGTTTGGATTTTCCTGAAACAAACACTAGTGCAACTTTGCTGTGCATCACAGGTGCGAATAATAAATTTCTGTCCATCTTTTAGAGTAACAAGTGCTTCCTTCCCAACTGGAAGATTTAGTTTAACTGAACTTTTAGTGGCTTTGTCTTCCAAAATGACCTGGATGAGCTGCAAATAAAACATGGAAGTGTAAATATTATCATTGTGAAGAGATTATATATCTGATCCTTCTGCTACTGAATAAAAAGAGTTTTCTGTTATCTGTGTCAAGGGCCTGCTCATGCAAACGCTTATGTTTAGAAGAAGGATGATCCAGTGATTATGGCACTATACTAGGACATGGGAGACCCAGAAGTGAGTCCTTGCTCTGCCATCATCTTCCTGTGAGACCCTGGGTAAGTCACTAAGCCTCTAAGTGGCTCAGTTCTCCCAACTGTAAAATGGGTATAATTGTATTGCCCTGCCTCACAGGTGTGTTGTAAGGCTAGTTACAATATAGATAGTGGAATGCTTTCTGCTGTACTGAGGCAAAATTCTATGTAAGTATTAGGTATTATTATGCCTGTAAATAACTTTGGGCACATGATTAGCATTGTTGAATTCAGTGAGATTATTTATCTGCAGAATTACTTGCAGGACTGTGCCCCAAATTGTTTATTTTCTCATTTCATCAAGTTTCCTCATTGTGTAGGATATGTTTAACAGAATCACCAGGCTAGCCTGCAATAAAATAATGTATTATTTGATATGCCCTGTCATATCCACGCTTCTTTTTTTTCCCCTCAAAATAAATAACCACAGTCCTTTCAATCTTTGCTCACATGGCATAACTCTTTAGAGTGAAATCTTAGTCTCATTAAAGTCAACAGGACTCTTGTCCCTGATTTCTTTGAGACCAGGTCTTTATCCTGTCTCTAATCATCTCAACACATTTTTTCTGTATTTATATCTTTTTGATAGAGTATTTGAGATGAGCACACAACATTGATTTATACAATGCAGTTAATTATTTCCTTAATTTTTCTATTTAACAAATGTGACAGACCCAAACTAGATGGCTGCTGCACACTGATGGAGCCTATTTGAAATCATGGGATGGTGGGCGGGCGAAGCCCGCCCACCTTCTAAAAGCCCCTCCCCAACCTTATGGGAGGGACACTGGACCCATGTTCAATTGATTTCTTGGGACAAATAATGACTAAAGGATCAAGAAGTGCGGGCTAGAGGTTCAAAATAAGGGAGCCGGATGGGGACACCGAGCAGAGAACCCCGGACAGCGCCCACTGCTCCTCAAAGCTGTCGATGGAGCCAGTGGACGCCGCCCAGAGGAACTCTGCCCGGATTCGTGACACGAGGGAGGAGCGGAAATAGGCCCCACAGTCGCAGAGAACCCCCTCGTCTAGCATCCTCCTCCTGCTGTTGTAGATGGCAACTTTCGCCAAGGCCAGGAGGAGGTTGACGAGGAGGTCTCGCGACTTTGTGGGGCCACGGATTGGGTGTGCATAAATAAAAAGGTGAGGGGAAAAGTGCAGCCAGAACCTCAATAAGAGGTTCTGGAGGAGCCGGAATAGGGGCTGCAACCTGGCGCATTCAAGGTAGGCGTGCGCCAGGTTCTCCCTCACGCCACAAAAGGGGCAGGTGTCTGGGATAGGGGTGAACCGCGCCAAGTACACGCCCGTGCTCACGGCTCCGTGGAGGAGCCGCCAACTGATGTCCCCGCCGGGCCGCGGGATTAAGGTCGAATAAACGCTGGCCCATCGGGGTTCCCCACCCTCCATGGGTCTGAGGTAGTCCCGCCACTTTGTATCGGGGCGGGACACGAGGGTGGGGAAATGCAAAGCGTGGAGCACGAGCGTGTACAGCTGTTCCCTGGGCGCGGTCCGGAAACAGACCGGCTGCAGATTTTGCAGCCGGCTGGGGGTCCAAGGGTGGGGAGGCCGGGGGGGCCCGCGGGACAGGGGCCCAATAAAGAGGGACGGAGGCTTTGCAGGAGGGGAGGGGCGGAGCGTTCCCTCTCGCAGGGCTCTCTGTAGGAGATCGCGAGCGGGCTGCGACAAAGCCGCCTTCACCTCCTGGAGTAGGCGCAGGGGGGTTCGAAGGGTGGAGAGCCCCATGCGCTGAGCGAGCGCTCGGGGATCCACCCAGTCCCCCCTGTCGTAGTCCAGGAGGTCCCCGACCATGGTGGTTTCTGCCAGGATCAGCCTCCGGCGCACCGAGGGAGACTCCGCCACCTGCACGCACAAGGCTGGATTGTGGAGCAGGGGCTCCGCGAGGAGGTCTGCTCCCTCGGAGGCCACAACGGACCTGGTCGCCGAGAAGAGCTTCCAGGTCTGGAGGAGGTCCTGGTAGAATTCCGGCAGTTCTGAGAGGTCTCGCGGAAGGGCCCTCGGGTGGATAAAAAAGAGCTGCCGGTCGTATCGGAGCCCTCGGAGGCGGCGGAGGAAGGCGTGCCCCAAAATGCTCCATGCCGGACTACCTGCACTAAAGAGGAGTCTCTGCAGGGCCTGGAGGCGGAAGGTCCGGACCTGGCTGCGCACGCAGACCAGGCCCTAGCCCCCCTCCTCCAGGGGGAGGGACAAGACCCCTGCAGAGACCCAGTGCAGTCCCGGCCAAAGGAACCCCAAAGCTGCCCTCTGGAGCTTGGCCGGGACCTCCGGGTGCGGGCGCAGGGTGTTGAGCCGGTGCCAGAGCATGGACAGGACCAGCTGATTGAGCACCAGCGCCCTCCCACGAAGGGAGAGGCACCGGAGCAGTCCCGTCCATCTCCGCAGCCGCTCACCCACCCTGGCCTCCAAACCTTGCCAGTTTTCCGGCGGAGAAGGATGCGTGGCGGATAAATAGACGCCCAGATAGAGCAGCGGACCCGCGCTCCACCTGCTGGCCTGAAGCGCGGGTGGGAGGGGGCCGGCCTGCCACCCGTCCCCGACCACCAGGCCAGAGCTCTTGACCCAGTTGACCCGGGCGGAGGAGGCCGCCGAGTAGACGGCTTGGCAAGCCTCCACCCGCGCCAGGTCGCCCGGGTTGCACACTGATGGAGGGAAGACATGCTGGGGCTTGGGTGTACTGCTTTCTGTTCCCTGAGTAAAAGAAGCCAAACCTAACTGCAGCATAATCAGGAAGACACCTGTGGTCAATTAGAGCTTGCTAGAAGATACAATCTGATGACACCTGCAGCCAATTAAGGCCTTTGGTGCTGCTTTAAAAGGGCTTCCCCAGGCAAGCAAGGGGGAAGGAAATGAGTTAAGGACAGGAAGGAGGTAGGAAGTGTGTAGAAGAGCAGAGGACTGATGTGCAGGTACCAAAGGAAAGGTTCTGGGATAGACTGCTTGGGGAAGTGGCCAGGGAAAAGTTGTCAGGTTGGAGAGGCAGTAACTCCTCCTGTTGCCACTGCCTTAGGGTCCCAGGGCTGGAACCCAGAATAGGGGGTGGACCTGGGTTCCCCACAACATCTCAACCTCTCTCTCGAGCAGAGAGGATCATGACTCCCAGAGGGGATTTTACCCCAGACTTATGAACTAGGCTGTGATGTGTGGCTGCTTTTGCTCCTGCCTCTGGTAAAGAGAAAGGCCACGTGGAGGGCCACAGTGAGCCTCTGTGGTTAACGCTATCCACCATTAGTGCAAGAACCATGGGGAATAGCGGGAGTTCTGCCACACAAATCAAAGCATTTGGTTTGTTCTTTTGCCATTGTTGTCCATTGAGGTATGAGATACCTAGATCTCTTTTCTGTGATTTACAGTGTATTGTTTGTAAGTGACTACAGCATGGTGTCTACAGAGAAACCCACTGCAGGCATGCGATTGAATGGGATTTTAATTTAGTAATGTGAACAAAGAGGGAGAGTGTGTAGACTGGGCTTTTATGGATGAATGTACATTGCATGTACTGAGGGAAAGATGGTGCAAGTGCTATAATAAGAAAAAAAAGAGCCACTCAACTGTCTCTGGGCTCCACATTATTACATTACAGCTGGTTCAGAACCCATCAGTTTGTATGATCAGTCTGAATTCTTCTTACCAATGTGCATTGCTTTGTATTTGACTATGTGGAATTTCATCTACCATCTTGTCCATGGACCCACTTTTGTTAAATGCTACACTGAGATGTCAGCAACTTGATATTTACCCATTTTCCTGATGATGATGATTATGAATGATGTTTATGCATTGAGAACTGTGCTGGGCCCTTCAAAACAGCAATAAACCACAGTCTCTGCGCCAAGAAGTGTAGTCAACATTCAACATGAAGCAGCAAGTGAGGGTCATAAACAGACATGGGATGAAAGAGGAAGACCAAGAGTGATGATAATATTATAGAGTTAATCTGTAAGGCATAAGATACATATTGGTGGTTCTGGTTCAAGGGTTTTTATTGATGGCTATTATCACTCCTTCCTTTCATTTCTTGTAAGCTTCACAACAGAAATCTGTTTTCTGCAGTGACTTCAAGGAGATGAGGGTGGAGGTTAAGGATGTTAATTTTAGATTAGTTAACTAATCAAATAGTCAATGTAATTTGCATCGACTGTTCAATTAGTCAATAAGGCTGCCTCCACCTTTGAAATATAGCAAGAGCTTGGCTGGTTATTGCTACATTTCAAAGGTGAAAAAGATGTGGGGAGCATGGCCAGCGGGGTACTCAAGCAGTCCCCCACTGGCCCCACGCTCCCTGCTTTTAAAATGTACAAGAGTCTCTCTTGTACATTTTAAAAGCAGAGAGTGCAGGGCCAGTGGGGGACTGCTTGAGTCCCCAGCTTGCCCTAGGCTCCCCACAACACTTCTGCTTTTGAAGGTGGAAGCGCTGCCATTTCCCTACTGCACCCCTGCCACTTTTCCCCACACAGGCAGTGCTGGGGGTAACTGGATTTTAAGCTAGCTCTTGCCAGCACCGACTCCTGCTCCCCCCCCCCACTTGCTGTTTCTCTCTGATAGAGGCAGTG